TTTACACATTCGCGAAAAGACGTCTACAGAAAGATTTGAGAATATTGAAATCGGAATATCAAGGATATGCTGTATATCGAAAGACTTGCCTTGATGAATTGAGCACAAAGCTTTCTTCGGATTCAGAATATGTTCATTCCGAAGGAAGTTACGGCGAGTAGAATTTGAAAACGCGTGATTTCTCCAAAATTCACCAACGCTTCTATCTCTTTTGGAAGACAGTCTGCAGCTACTCTTGAACGCACGATAACCTACAAGGAGGACAGTACCATCGAAGAGTGCTTACTGGAACCTTTTATTTTATGTTACACAGACGCTGCGTTACATCCTTGCGAAAGGACCTCCACAGAAAAAATTCGAAAAAACTGGAAACGGAATGTGGAGAGCATACTGTATACCAAAATATTTGCCTCGACGGTCTGTACACAATGCTGCTTCTGGATTCGGAATATATTCATTCCGAAGGAAATTATGGCGTTGCGTATTCTGCGTGATTCGCATTCGCGGATCCTGAAATGTCGCGAGCTTCCCGGATTATCGCGCACTCTGGCGGAATTCTCGGAATTCCGCGAATTTCACGGAAATTTTGACATTCTATGAGCGGTATTGTGATCTTGAGCAGATCTTAGAATAAATTCGATCAGAGTGGCTCTCTAACATACTCCTATAGTATACTGTCTAGGTGTCATCAGCGACAGATCAATGTTAATACTGTTATCAGCATACTGAATTCAACCAAAATAATAATCGATAATTCTGCAAACTAATACTGTATTCGGAATCCCCATGCTCACTTATCCCCTGTGCCAACTCCCAGCCCCGTAGGTGAATTCTGCAAAAAAATCAATGAAAATTGATAAAAGTAATCGATAATTCTGCAAATTAATATTGTATTCGGAATCCTCATGCTCACTTACCCCCCTGTGCCAACTCCCGGTTCCGTAGGTGAACTCTGCAAAAAAACAATAAAAATCAATAAAATCGATATCTATCGATGACGAAAAGTAGCCTATGACACTCGCCGGGGCCCGAAGTGTATGTGTACCAAGTTTGGTCCAGATCGGTTCATAAATGGAATTTTCTATTCGGAACATACGTACAGACAAACAGACAAACAGACGTTCAGCTTCATATGTAAGATGATGCGTCTTGCCGAGCTGAATCGAACTGTGTCCTCGGATTCAGAATTCGTCTATTATGAAGCGAGATATGGCGATGTGACAATCATTCCGACGGACTCTAGTGGAGTCCATCGGAATGATCGTCACTCTGCCGGAATGATCACTCTGATCGTCACTCTGTCGGAATGATCACTCTGCCGCACTTCGGCGGAGTCCGCCGCAGTCCGGCGACTTTTTTGACGAATTATGAGCGGTATTGTAGTTTGCGACTAAACGGCTGAGGTGAGAGCATAGGTGCGATAGTGGGAGCAGGGTCCCCTCCAGGTGAAGGGGTTTTGGCTATTCCTGACTTGGAAAAGTGAAGGGGGTAAATGGGCCTTGAGGTGAATGCTGACGCAAGCTTGCGTGTCTACTGGGAGCGGGAGTGAAAAGAAGGAAATTAAGTGTACAGAGGTGTAATACAAAGATTTCCCTCAATACATAGCTTTGGAAGGTCATCCAACAGAGACTTTTTTGACTCAGGAACTTTAAGTTTCATCAGTCGACATACCATTCGAAAGCTTGGAGCATACAGGATCGACGTAGACTGTCTCTTTTTTCCAGCTCTCCTGTGAATTCAGATATAAGAAATCATATCTAGTTTCAGCATCAGCTGATTTTATGCAATCACTTGTCGCTTTATTTTTGAAAGAAGGAGGAAAGCTAGAAAAAAGAAACGGCTACGTTTACTGGGGAAGTCTTGCTCCTTAAAAGGGTTAGACAACTGGGCATTTTCAATCACTCTTTGCATAAAAATCTCTTCTAAAAAACACACATGTTTTTAGATAAATTGCCATGTATCTCTGAGTAGAGGAGAGCTGTTGAAAAGAGACGGTCTATTTTAATGGTATATAGATTGTTGAGTGAAAAAACTTGTGGATTTTCAAAAATGAGGTGAAGATATTTAATACTAACTTGCTCCATCCTGCTCCGGCTTTCTATGGGTCGCCGGAGCAAGACTTTTTTGGATTGGCAAAGCTTTGTGCACCAACAATTTGTACACCATTCGATAGCTAGGAACACGAGGAATCGATGTAGACCGTTTCTTTTTTCCTAGCTTTTCTGTGAAGCGAGATACGAGCAGTTTTATCTAGCTACAATAGCAGCCAATTTTGAGTAATTATTTTTGGGGTGTATGTCAAGAGGCGCGATTTTTATCGCCAGCTGGACACCAAATAGCAAATAATAAGTGTTTTGCAACTTTCCAAAATCATATAAAATTTGGAAGAAGATGTATTAGATAGTTGCATGAGTTGTTCAATCTTGATGCTCTAGAAAAAATTTGAAAGAGCAATTTTGAAGGTCAAAAACTCATGAAAATGCAATTTAGAACAAATTCGTAAATATTCCAGTACGATTTATAGCAAAAACCATGAAACTCAGCAAATGGTGACCTCAAACGGATAGTAAGCTGATGCACTTTATTCGGTAATTTTTGAAGACTTGCATAGCACTAAATTGGAGTTTTAAGTTGGTGACAGCCAGAGAAATCGCGCCTCTTGACCGTCTCCCTTATTTTTGAGAGCAAGAAGGTCTTTTTCGAACTTTTATACATGATTCGGAAGCTTGAGAAACGTACAATCTAACTACTCTTTTATTAGTTATTATTCTCTCTAGTAAAAGGAGATATGGTACGATTCTTGTCAGTAAACATGCATCCATCACTAGCTGGTCAAGATTTTCTACTCTTGCCCATCTCTTTCCTGCGACAGTGTGTATTCATTGATACGATATTAATTATTCAAATCAGACATGCTTTTGATTTTTGATTATGTTTCATTATCAGTGCCACTTTGAGTACTCAGAAGGTCTCAAGCATGCATTTTTTCAGCAAAACCCTTTTGCTTCGACACTCTCTTGCAGTCGTGATGTTTAAAGAGAAGAGCAGCTGGCGTTTCCTTTCCAAACAAAAGTGCTGTTGTAGTAGCTGTTTGATTCTGCCGTTACGCCTTGATTTAGTCTCAACCTCAGGTGAAAGGGGTCAGCCAGATGCCCGCCCTAAAGTGAAGGGGGTCAGAGAAATTTCTCCACCTATCGCATCTAGGGTGAGAGGGAGATCCGCTGGTTGGTACAGCCTATAAATATTGTGTGAGGTTCGGACAATAATGCCGCATCATTTCCCATTAGGCAACACTGTGATATAGTGAGCATAAAAAGTAAATGGGGTATTATTTGATGATCAGAGTCAGGTGAATTTGAATTATCTGCACCAGATTTGATTTAGCAGAAGTTTGAAGCCAAATTTTGAAAGCTTCAAGGCATTGTCTCATTAAATCTGGTGTCGCGCGGATCTTCACATATTCTTTATTATGGCCTTCTAAGTAGGCCACTGCAGCAAGCCCGACTTATTTGACCTTCTCTACGCTGAGAAACATTAACTCGAAGCGGTCAGCATCGAGCGATTTGGCCCGCACGGTCGACCTCCTCATTTCCCCCTTTACGCGTTTCAACCATCCATCCACTCAATGTTCACATCCATGGCATTGCTGCCACTGTGGCGAAGGCTAGACTGATAAAGCAAAACTCGTCCGCGTTGACGCAGGGTCGGAAAGGCTTGTGATATGCAAAAATCTATCAAGTCTTGGTAGACACTGTTTTTGAATGCCTGAAAGAAAAATCCTAGGGACCCTCAACTCGCTCATGTACACAATTGCCGCATCAGGCGCTCGTACGCACAGTGCTTTTTCCATGGCTTAGAATGAAGAAAACGAAACTCGGCATGTTCTTTAAAGCAGTCCTGAACTTCTCCCAGATGGGAATCGTTTGGAAGAAGTTCGTCTGAAACGTCCGCAGTGTTTGTACTCTTCAGTACCTCTGCGCTCTATCAAGTGGACTCTTCTACTTTTCCTTATTTTTACCCTGCCACGGTAAATTGATGCGACATTGATTCCCGAGCAGTTCAATGTCGCGCTCACTCTCCCTTGAGCCAAATCGCAGACATATAGTCCAAAGCTTTATAAAATGTCAATGCATTGGTATGGATCGAAAGAAATTGTTTACGATGACCACCGCGCGTCAGAGCGTGTGCGAAGTTCGGTGCGGATTGATCAGAAAGTTATTTTCTCTCTAGAGTGTAAGTACACGCGCGCACGCATACGCAGACGGACACAAAGGCAGACGCACTGCAAAATCTTGTTCGAAGAATCCCCTCAACGTTTACTCAATACAGCGGAGACGAGCGTTGCTTTCAGTAAGGTTGTTTCGTCAATGTACATTCGGTTATGCTCAAATGTAACTTTGGTATGGTCTGCCCTAATCCCAAGCAGGCCAAAATTGGCATGGCGGGAGTCCGTGTCGCGAGGTTATTGCGTCACGTTTAGTTAGCTAATCTGTACTCTCCTCAGTCTTTTCGCTCTCTGCGATGGGTTGCGCGCGTAAGCAGTGCAAACCCCTAACGTGCGAGCGCACAGATTCAGCCGACGGTTTTGGCCTGATGCAGAGGGAGGACATTATTTACTAAACACACATAGTTACCATAAAACATATTCAAACTTGCGCGCTAACGCTTGAGTTTGGAGAAAAATAAAGTATTTAAGTTATTTTTAGAAGACACAATTCCGTGTATCGTGCAAGGAAAGTCTTAACATAAACTGATATAGAGGCGGATGACTTGTGAAGTTTTATCTACAAATTAAAACTCTGTGCTAGTTGACCTTTTCTCATGCAAGTTTGACTCATATTTGGCTTGACAAAAACTGCAGTCTTCCAGAAAAGTGTAATGGGCAAAGAAAAGCCTGTTAACAGGCACAATAATTATGTCAGTCACAGCTCTTATTAGCGCAAAAGTGTCTGTAACTTTACATGTAGTGACGACTTCCTGACTGATTGAAAAAGGTTTAGGCTTTGATACGAAAAATGCGTAAAATGGGAAGAAATCTTGGCTTCAGCGATTTAGCATTGGGAAATTTGGAAGATTTGGACTATCTTTACAGTGAGGTAATCTATGTTTCTCTTTCAGAGGCATGATAAGATCTATAACACATTGGAAAATTCTTTTTGCTTGAGTTCATGAACTTTCGATGATATCTTGTAAAGGGGTGAATAACGTAGTCGTAAAATTTACTTGCAGCTCTTTTTTGATTTCACAAATGCAACCGCAGCTGGATTTTGTCGCGTAGTTTTGTACTCAGTTGCCACCCTGAGTCTAAAGCAAATGCTTTTTTTTAGAAAATTCTCAAAGCTGCTTAGGTAAAATAACACCTTTCACTGATAGCATTCGAAGTGAGATGCATAGCAAGTGCTCCGCCCTAAGCGCTTCGAACCTGCCACTCTAACCCTGCTTAAGGTGCCTTTGAATTATTACTCGGTACACAAAACCAGAAACTATCCATGATGAATTCCTCTTAGGCGATTCCCCTCTCGCCAAATTTTACGAAGTCCTTTATGACCTTTTGAAAACCACTCACTCTCTTCCTTGTTTTTGTGTCTGGTTGTCCCCTTAACTTTGAAATATAATAAATGGTGAAAGACCAAAACTCTTCTTTTATCATCTATTCTATAACTGTCTTCAAGGATCATTGACACCTAGAACCTGAACCATTTCCATACTTATTTGTTCCTCCACCTCCTTCCCCCTCCCCCCCCCCTCCCTCTCCTCCCTCCTCTCTCCCCACCGTCCTCAACGTTCATCCCCTCTCTCTGCATTCTTCCTCCACCTGCCAATTCTCTCCGCAGCGATCGACACAAAACTGATGAATATCACAGCAAGAATAAAAAAGAGGGAAAAAGCAAGACAAGCATAATGACGCCGAGCATCTTGTGAAACTGACAAGGAAAGGATACCAACATTAGTCGGCGATTGATCTGCTTTCCTTTTTTTGCGGAATAAGTTTCCGAAAGAAGTTGTGGGCGTTCAAATATCCACATTTGTCAAGGTTTAGGTGGCCAAAAATTGGCGAAAAGTTGTACAAGAACACTGGAAAGTCGAAAATCATTTTTAAATCGAGTATATTGTTTGCGAAAAAGCAACAAAACCGGTGGAGATCGCAGGGGTGTTGTTTTAGAGCTTTTCGCTGATCTTAAGCCACTCAATGCTTGGTAGATCTGGACATTCAAACGCTCGTAACTTCTTTTGGAGACTTATTCCGCAAAAAAGGAAAGATTTGGAATCAGCGATCAAACTCGCATCTAATGATATACATCTCATCTTTAATAGCCAACTAAGGTTGGTATCCTTCCCTTGTGAGACCTTTATGTGTATACAGGTGGAAGGTAAATGGGCGATATAACATTTAGTATATCTTTTTGAGGTATTACATCATGCCGCCTAATGTGCCTGTAGCTTATGGACAGTTTCTATAACAAGATTAATGAGAAACGCACGAGCTGAAGTCTTCTGATGTAACGGAACTTTGGAGTCTGCTTCCTCTTGAGCGGCGCTGTGTCGCAGTCATTCAAACCATGTTTGAAATCCTTTTAGTATTTTAGAGAAAAAATTTCCTGATAGTAAGGCGCTATTGTTCTTCAGACTATGCTTTACAAACCTTAGGTCTCAAAATCTATTCGATTGATGACCGAATCATCAAGAAGGGTTCCAACGAGTACAATCTCCGTAATGGAAAGAGTACAGAACCGCGCTTTTGACAAACCTTCTTAGTGAAGAAATTCTAAAAATTTATGTAGGCAAAAGGTCGGGTTCCCAACCTGTACCCAACTGGAGCGGTCCCAGTCAATTTGGGATAACGATGGAGCATTCTTTTATTTCAAGTTTTCATGAATTTTTGGTCATACTTCGAATTGCTTCATGCAGATGCATGTCGAACTTTTTATTTAACTATTTATTTATTTTTATTTCTTTATTTTATTTATTTATTTATATTTAGATTACTTAAAATAATCATTTTGTTTTGATGTCATATCATCGTATCTCTGTAGACAAGGCATTCCTTACTTGGGGCACAACTTGGGATTTCTGCGCTCTGCAAAATCGTGTTATTTTTTGTGATTTTGGATCCCCAAATTTTTACGAATTCTTAAGACGTCAATTGCTAATGACTCTTTTGAAATGAGTAAATACTTCTTTCTTCACAAATGCTCTCTTGTGTATCCTGGTAAAGATTCTCGTCCTGACACGGAGAAAGATGGAATTCGGTTACAAAGTGACCAAGTGCGTCCCACTTTTCAAATCCCTTATCTCTTATATATAAAGCTGAATTGTTTGTTTGTATGTCTGTATGTCTGCCTGTCTGTGTGTACGTATGTTCTGAATAGAAAATTTTATTTCTGAACCGATCCGGACCAAACTTTGCACACATACACTTCGGGGCCGGACGGGTGTCATAGGCTACTTTTCGTCATCGATCGACATCGATTTTATTGATTTTTCGAAAAGTTTGAGCTACGAGGCTAGTTGGCACAGGGGGTAAGTGAGCATGCTGATTACGAATATATTGTTGATAGGGCCGGGCGGAGCCGGGTTTACCAGCTAGTATAAAAATAAATCAAATCAAAGGTTTGCTAGATTTCGCCGAGGGCAATTGTGTTGAAGTATGAATGAAAAGCGGGATTCAAGTCATTTCCCGCTCCTGCTCACACTCGTCCTCCACAAGCTTCCTGCTATAAATCCTATGTACGTAACATCCCACACAACAAATATTGTCAAAAGTTTTCGGTCTTCGATGCAACTTTCCATTTTCTCAAATAATCGTCCTACAGCATTGTGCCAATCTCAAAAAAGTTTTACTGATAGATATAGCAAACCCTACGGGATCAAAAGCAACTTTTTCTTTTTCTTCAAAGGTCTCATAACGCTGTGATAGATAATCTACTGAAATCGTCGATGCTTGGAGGGCCTATCATAGGCACAAGCTCACTAAACATCAATAAATCTTTGGTCAAATTTTTCAAATTTGTTCATGAGTTCACGTTATCAACAAAGCAATGAGCGTCCGCGGATTCATAGTGTCATATGAATCTGTACACACCCTGAAACGCTACAGAAACATAAATTATGTTGATTTGGTATTCGAAGACTTTACTCTGAAATGAAATTTTTCGGGTTTATAAACTAAATTAGCAAGAGTAGAAAAAGCTGCATCTAAAGACGCCCGAACTGCTCGTCATTTGATGTTCAACGAGGTTAGGGGACCATATACGTATTTTGTTACTATCGAAATAATCTTGAAAGTTTTGAAAAGAAAGCTGTGAAGAAAAGAAAAGGCTATATTGTATCTTTTCGTGAAGTTGGTGGAAAAAATTTGAAGCATTAGCGAAGTTTGACCTTGGCAAAAGTCTTGGGTTGTAGTTTCTAGTTAGGACTCGTTTTAAGCTGGAATGAAAGGAAAACCATTTGAAAGAGGATGAAAGCGGATAGAGGTTTCTGAGGATCTTTGTTCTGCAGAGTGTTATCCTCCTATGAGAGCGAAATACTAAGAGCGAAATACTTTCGGAACGACCTCTCAGATAATCGCCGGGGCAGGCGATCCGCAAACTCGCGCTTTTCTGCAAGCGGTCAGCAGGATTTTGGCGTTGCCAAACCTTCAGCGAGCGGTACTTCCTTTACTGTCTAGTGTTCTGCCAGCGGGCAGCAACAAAGAATTTTCTGCAGGCGCCCGTCAATAATCTCTTTCTGCAAACGCTAGCCGAACTTTCAGCAGGCGCTCGGAGTCTTTTTATGCAGTTTCGGACATAGTCAAGCACAGGTAAGGCTCTGTGTGGCAGAGATGTCACCGTTGGTTTGATTACTCTAGTTTGAGGTACTTCCTCTCAGCGGAAAGTGCCTGAGGACTGCGCGGTCCTCCACAAAAGACCGCGCAGCCCTCGAAATTTTGCATATTTTCGCGGAAAGTCCGCGAGAATGCGGCCACTGCGCCGCAGATAATCTACAAGAAAACCGCGTTTGTTCTTCGTCTAAAATTTCGCTAAAATCCTTCCAAATTTCTGCAAGCGGACCGCAAGAAATCAGCGAACTATTTCTCCGGTGCCCGCCGCCAATAAATCGCATGCCGCCTGCTCGCGGCGATTGTCTGAGCTAATACAGGGTGTCCCAAAAAGAATCAAACGTTTGATCTTCAATAACTTCCCTATATGGAAAGCTTTCGCGCATCTTTTAGCGTCATACGTTAGAGCTGGGTACAACTTATATTACAGTATAGAGCGAATCACCGATTTCTCTTAGTCGGTGTAAGATTACGGTAGAAATTTTCAATTGATTTTACGCTTACAACAGGCGAGAATGCTTCTAAAAATTTCCAAAAAATTGAAGGACGTTAAACTGAGGTGTTAGGGGATGCTGAATCTAACCACAAAGTTTTTCGCTGCCGTACTCCTCATCTTCCTACAGCATGCGCACTGTAAGGCCCCGGACAGACTTCACGCAATTTGATCGTCGCGACTGAATCGCGACGAGACAACTGTTACAACATCATTTCATGCCGATCGACTTGCATTTCGGTTGTGATACTTTTCCAGCCCGAAATTTTTGAATGTGAAATGAAAATGAATGGAAATGTCGGCGATTGAGTCGCGACGATTAAGTCGCGTGAAGTCTGACCGGGGCCTAACGCTTTGGCTAACGCGAAGGCATTTAACGACGTTTTGTGACTGCAACGTTGATTTAGTAAATTTTGTTAAAAGGAAAAAAATTCAGCGTTAAGGTGCGGTAGCGGAAAACTTTGTAATTAGATTCAGCATCCCCTAAAACCTTAGTTTAACGTTCTTCGATTTTTTGGAATTTTTTAGATGCAGTTCTCGCCTGTAGTAAGCTTAAAATTATTTGAAAATTCCTACTGTAACCCACAGTGACCAAGAGAAATCGGTGATTTGCTCTTACTATAATCTAAGTTGTACCCAGCTCTAACGTATGACGCTCAAAGATCCGCGAAAGCTTTCCATATAGGGGAAGTTATTGAAGACCAAACATTCGATACTTTTTTTGGGACACTCTGTATATTCATCTGTATTACCTGTATCCCGTTGATCATCGTCTTGCATGAGCG